TTCTAAGTTTACTAGACATTTGCATATTGTATTAGCAAGCACCACTAATCAGTGCATCTCACAAACATCTCTCTTGAAGTTGTTCTTAAAAAATGTTTTCTCCCCTTAAAAACCACCAATTCACAGTGCCAGGACAGTGCATTACTAAGCTGGTAAACTGGTTCCTGAGCTCTTTCAGGTCTACACTAGGTTACACAAGTAGACATATTGTTTAAATTAAGATTGTTTTGAAGGGAAAAACTTCCACAGAAGGAAATTCTGAGGATGGGTTTACCTACCCTGCCAGTGCTCCACTGCTGGCAGGTACTTCCCATCTGATGAGCTCAAAACACATCACAAATACAAACGAACTAAGGTTTCGAGACCAAGCTGTCAGCAGGTAACTGCCACTACCTCCATGCTGATCAAAAACATCAGACCATGAGCAGGCAGGCAGCTGGGGGCAGCCTGGGAAATGAAGCTCAGAGTTCTGGCTTTGAACTGCGCTTTAAAAAGTTCCTATTTTAGGGGTTTCTCACTCTTCATCTTCACTGCCTCCTTCCCCACATGGACATACACCCCTGGCAGGTGGGATTTGTCAAGCTCACACTTGGAAGTTCTGCACACACTAGGCCAACACCACGGTGCCATGGGGCCCCAGGGACGAGCACGCTGGAGGACAGGCTGAGGGCCTGAGGTATGATTCAGGCAGGTCAAGCCTGGAGAGTTTTGGGGGAAATAAAGCTAAATAGAAGGGAGAGGAAACAGAGCAGTCTGCTGGTGAGATTCTTCCCTTCACCTCCAGAAGTGACGACCATTTGAGATGTCCTGCTGTGAAGTGCAGCGTGTGGGACAGCTCTTCATCATCACTCAGAAAATGAAGTGGTTGAGACAACAGGTTGAACATCTATATAATGAACTGAGGTGTATCAAGTTAGCAGCGGTTCCTGATTTAGCAGATCTCTGCTAAATCTGGCTTCCCTTTGAAAAAGCCTAGAACATGTGTCTGTAGAGAAAATATCATTGAAGGACACTTTATATTAACAAAACAGTCTTAAAGACAGGATTTCTTTTAACCACAAAAGAAAAGGAAGAGCAAACTAATTAAAAATAAGTCAGCAACAGACTTGGGAACATCCTTGAGAGGACTGAAATGGAATGTAGCCCTGGAAGCTTGAACCATATAAGCAATGCATAAACTGGGAGTGCTGGGCTCTTCAGTCTTACCTCTATGAAAAAGAAAAGCAATGGAAATTAACCCGTTAGCGCAGGCGGCAGCACGTCACCCATCTCACATGAAATCACACCGTGTTTGGCTTATGATGAGGAAAGGGAAGTGAGGGAGGTGGAGGAAGGTACAGGGGTGGAAAAAAGAGGAAGGCAGGGAAAGTTTAAAAAAAAAATAAAAAAAAAAATCTCTGCCTCAGCAAAAGTTTTCATTAAAATTTGAGACAAACGATCTCTGTGTCCTTCTCCCATGCTGCCTGGGGCTCCATGCTATTTCTATGCAAATAACAACCTCGTGGTTTATATCTTATTATTTCCACCGGAGCTGCGGCGACATGACCCGAGACGTGTGTGAGGTAGACAGCGAAAGAGAGAGAGAGGGAGAGAAAGAGAGGGAGAGGGAGGGAGAGAGATGGAGTGGCTGCTTGCTGAAGTGTGAAAAAATATTGTCAGGAGTGAGCGGCAAGAACAAAAAAAAAAAAAAATTGCAGGGATAACGTGTTTATTTCAGCCCCTCTCCCCATGTGAACCAGCACCTTTTAAAATTCATTGGGCATCAGGCGATCATGCACAATCCATCTGCTTTCACTTTATCATTTGCATTTCATGCCTCCTGGCTTTTGATGTGCTGATACTTTGATGCAGTCAGGAGACGCGCATTATCATTATTTCAATTTTCAGGGGGGTCAGCGGGCGCAGCACAGGCGCGCGCACACGCTCACGGGAGAGGAATGAAATGTCATTTCCACCTCTCCACCCCCTGCTGAAATGCAGTGGTGGAGACAAAAGGGGTTCAGAGGAAATGCAACCCTGGTGCCCCACATGCAGAGCGCTGTCCCCACCGCAGAGCATCACACGTTTCCCCAGGCCTTTCCCTCGCCCGTCGGTCCGGACTATAAACAAAGATGGCTTAATCAGGAGCAGAGGGAAACCTGGTACAGCTCTTGAGCAGTTTCTTGTCACCCCTGACAGGCAACTGGGCTGAGAGAATCCTTAAACCTGCTTGATATCGGGTGTCTCACAGTGCTATGCCTCCCTACTTACAAAGCAGTGACACGGAGGCAGTGAACAGCCAGCACGTGATGAGTCAACCTCTAGAACCAAACATTAGCTTCAGCTAAAAATGATATTGACCTTGAGCTCATCATCTAAGTTATAGGTTACAGTCTGGTTTTGGCAGCTGGACCTTTCCCTCTACATTTAAACCCTCAGGCTGGTTTTACATAATGATAATGAACAAGACCAGCAACAGATCTGCTGGCATTTAACGTTTGTCACAGTCCCCCTTTGCTCCTCTTGTAAATTAAAAAGAATCCAGTATTTCACAGGGAAAAAAAATAAATTAAAAAACCAAACAACTTGTCAGAAAAAACCTCAGTGCTCTCTGAAAGCCAAACTGTCTCCATTGCTGCAGAAACATTTTCGCACTGCACATTCTCTCCTTGCAGAGAGAAGACATTTTGAAGATGTGCACGCACACACAAGACTATGTAAAGCTTTGTACAGTGCCCTCTGTGAAGACAGTATTTCAAAGTCAGCAATGGAAAAAATTGTCCCAAATCTCTGAATATTTGTGTGCAACTGTGTTAGAAAACATTCAGTTCCAACTTCCATGCAAGGTAGCAGTTCCCATTTATTTATTTTGGTTTCAGTCATGATCTTTCCTCATGACCCTGCCAGCTGGATCGGTGACCTTCCAATGTCCACAAAGTAAATCACTGACTGCTGCACGGGGGTCTTCTCACCATCTACTCCAAGGGAACAAGAAGAAGCAAGGCTCACTCGCTCCACAGAGAAAAAACTACAATAGGTTTCCACCATGAGACCCTTCTGGGGTCTTATTCACGTGAATGAACAAGAACACATCATGTATCATGTTTAAATTGCACTCCTACAAGGGAAGACTTTGCTTAATTGGCTGCTGGCTGATAGTGACCTGACTTCTAGGCAAAAGAAAATGCAAAGTGTCCATCTAAATTCAAGGGACAAGTGTTTAACAGGTTACATGTAAGAACAGGGAGACAGAGGATAAGTCTGAAGTAGATACTGTCTCCGTGGCAGGATGATGCAAATGAATTAACATCCACCACTTGCTTCTCACTCTCCTTAAGATCTCAACTGGACCGAGCTTGGTCATTTCAGGTTAGCCCTGGACATCATTTCACTACTTCAGACATATTTCTGGGGCGCAATTATGGCTGGATCCATTCAATAAGCTCTGACTAGAACTGCAGGGACTGGGAAATGAAGATCATGTGAACCAGCAAGACACATCACACAACATCCGGGAGTGAGTGGGCATTCCCAGTCGCTCACTATTCAAGGACAGGTAAACTTGTCTGCTGACAGATGTCAGGTGCTTAATTTAGACTAAATCCTTAATTTTTAAGTGCCTAAAATTTAATGAGATTAACCTAGTCCTAAAAAACCCCATTTGTTCCACGAGTCGAGAGTGCAGTTAAACCTGGAAAGAAGATGGCAGAAGAGGAAGACTAAACAGACTGGCCCTGCCATCTGGGAAACTCCGCAGGGCCCCGATCCCCAACAAATGACAGCTGGAACCAGGCAACTTACTCCACTTCAGCAAGCACTAAACTGACTCAATTTCTTTTTAAAGGACGGATCTTCAAATGTCTCTTTTCCTTCCATTGATGCAGGTGTGTGTGATGTGTGTAAGAGATCTAACTGAGGGTGCCGCATCCTGGAGTTGATAGGATCAATGCTTAATTTTCTGCAGAGCCCCCTTTATTCAGGGGAATAATTCAACGAGAGACTATTTTCCTTTTATCTCCCATTGTCAGGCAGGCACTCCTTGAAACGCAGCTTGCGATGAAGCACAACCACCCCAGGTGCTGGAGAGTGCCTGAGAACAAAGCCGCACAATGGGGAAGGGCACTCGCGCCCGCACAATCCTAACTCCCACCTAAACAAAGCCCTCAGTGAGAGGGACAAGAGCCGAGTCGGCTGCGAGCCGTGTCTGCTGCAGACAAGGAGCTGGAGGCTGTGATATTAATGGGCTTGGGGCAGCAAGGGAGAAAAAACCACCTCTGGTGGGGAAAAAAAGAAGAAGAGCCACTTTAGGAATGAAAGCGGTAAGTTTTCTTACAGCCTGAGATCTTCCTCCCTGCCCCCCACAGCTGAGGTCTCCAGCAGGTCTGACCCTTTGAAAATCACCACCACACACTCTTCCTCAGGCCGCAGTGCTGCCCCAGGATTAATGCAATGCTGTGGATGGCTGAAAGTTCAGCGTGATTCTGGCCCCACCTATTTTGAAACACGGTCCTCCAGACCCTGGAAACAGCCCTTATTTCCTCTATCACAGTACACAGTGGGTGGGAGAAGATGCTGCCCAGTCAGTGGGCTTCTCCACTTCTCTCATTCAGTCATTGCACACAACCTCTGTTAGAAGCTGCCTCTCCTTCTTCCCCTTCACCTGGTTCACGCTTGAGCCCTTAAATCTGCAGTTCTGCCTAGGTCACCTGTCAATCTCCAACCAGGATATCTGGAATTGTGCCTCTGGCTGGCAATACCATGTTCTGGTCAAGAAAGGTGCATGAAAGAACTGCTTTCTGAGCAGGAGAAAGGAAAAAAGACTGCAAAGGCATGAACATCTCACAGCTGCTGCCCCGTGTCTGTTGTCCTCCTTGATTGGGAGGAGTCTGAGAAGGGAGAAAGCAAAAAGGACGGAGCGCAATGACAGGCACAGTGGTGGCAGCTCCTCGAGTCTCTGGCAGAACTCACAGAAACACTAACTCAGCTCACATAACTCTGAAGACTAAAATGCAAGAACTTACTTTGTTGAGGGCTCCACAGCCAGTCAGGATTATATGAGAGTTCTCAACCTGGATAGTCCTCTGCCCCAGCCGAACAAGGTAAGCCCCAATTCCAATTGCTCGACACGTAACCTTAAAAAAAAAATTAAAAAATAAAAAAAAAATAAAAAAAGAAATTATATTGATTTCTGTCTTACCACACAGCCCAAACCTATCAGTTCAAACATCCAGATAAAACTAGGCATGTTTGTATTCCAAGGCTGTAAAATCTACTCTCACTGCAAAACTCCAGAATCTATTTTTTTGTAAAACAGAGTATCTGAGCATATACGAATTTTATTTAAAAAAAGAGAAGCAGTAACTTACAGACTGAGCAAACATGAAGCCAAATGACTATTTTCTAAAAATGTTTTAAATTTAGTTGGAAAGGGACCCAGCCCTATAGTGGTGCAAGTAGTGTTGCTCAAAGCCTACAGGAAGCAGTTTCCAGGAACCAGAAGTCTGATCCCAGATGCACCTTTTGGTTATCACTACAGGATTTTTAGCTGAAGCAGACAACACAGTTTGAAGAACAGAAAGCAGTGGGGGATTACCAAGTTGATGGTGATAATACTCTCATAGGCTAAAGATGATTCTCCAGCAATCATGCCAGATCCTCGGAGGTTCTCTATTCCAAGTCCATCTTCCTTTCCGATAATATCTGTTATCTTATACCTGAGGGAGACACACACAGCCTTTGAGTCACAAGGTCCAGTGATTTGCTGAATCAGTTTGCTATGAAGAAAATGAAAAGTGACTAAATATCATTAAAGCTCCAGAGTAATGTGCATAAAAGCCAGCCAGGACCTGTACCCAGGCTCATTCTGCAGCCTTGCTGAACACCATGGAACAGCGGCACGTACGAGCAGCCAGAGCAGCACTGCAAAGAGGAAATGCCAAGGGAGAGGAATGCCCCTGGAAAGTGTTCTCCTGTCATTCCCACAGGATGTGAGGAGCAGGCTGATTATAGGAAAAAGGGCAAGAAAGGAAGAGGATGGAGCCAAAAAGCAAAAGAAATAGAACAAGAGATGGTAATGAGGCTCTTACCTTGTCTTTCTTTCATGCCTTCCGTCCCCAGCCCAGTCCCTTCCTACTCAGTGCTCTCAGACTGGATTCTATCTTTTCCACTAGGCCCTTGCTAAGCAAAGTACTTGAGCATGTGCTTAAGTGCTTCACTGAAGAGAGCCACTGGCTTCCCCACCCCACACGCAGGCACGCACACGTCCCCACACCCAGCACCATCCTCATCCTTTTGTTCTTTCAGAGCTCGCCAGTCTGCAAACCAGCCTTTTTTTTTCTTCCTAAGCACAACGTCCTCCCTCTGCCCAGGAGCACCACTGCAGCTGCAGTCTAGCTCTGAAAGCTTCTCTGCATCCCATCTTCAGATGTGCTGCTTTGGGGTGCAGTTGGGAAGATGCAGACATCTAGAGTTGAGGTGCGTGGAAAACGAGGGGCTACAAGGCAGTTCAGTGCAACCACTGCAGCCCAACCCTTGGCCTTCACTCAGGAATTCTTTTATCCTTTCTACAGAATCTAGCAGAAAAGTAATTTTCAAAATTTAGACAGCAAGTCTTTGGGTAAGAACCATTGTCCTGGCCATTCGGTGTTTACCACTGCAGGACTCTCAGTCATGACTTGGGCCTCTAGGCAGTAGGAGCCAGCACGGCACTACTTCCAACATGGCATGTCATGATACAACTGTTAACTCTCCTGTTCCACACTCTGACCACACACAGCTCTGGCTTTCTACACACCTGGATCCTGAAGAATATCCTAGCTGGAGAGAACAATGTGACATGCATCACCTTGTATACCTAAGGATGAACAAAAAGCTTTCCATTCTAACCCACCCGTGCTTACCTGGACTCTCCATTGTCCTCCACGTGTTCACAGTGAACTGAGTTCAGGGCACTGACTTTCTTATAGTCTTGAGGAGTCAGGTACAAGTACTTGTAACCCTGCAGGAAAAAAACAGTTCATTCATCTCATTCCCACCTGTAGTCCCTTCCTGATCCCCAACAACCCCTTCCAAAAAGAAAGTTTCAAGGGAGCAGAATTTAATTCCAGACACCAATAGGAACATCCTCTCTTAACACCGGAGCTCCAGCTGAGGTCAGTGAAAGCCAGGAATGCTTTCAACATTCAGCACTAACTCATTCTAGATGCCAGTCCTGCTGTCTGAGAGAGCCAACACCAAGGAGAACTTTGGACCTAACAGTCTGGCAAATATTTACTCCCATCTCTATTAAAAGAGAGAGTGTAAAAATAAGATTCTTTTGGGAGCTACTGCAGAGTTTCACCTCTGATTCCTGTGCCTCCTTACCTTGTACGGGTCATCTGGGTCTTCCCAAGCTACGTGGAACATGTGCCGAATTTCCTCAGCCAAACCAATCCTGGCTCCACTGTTGGCAGCCACATAGATACGGGGGATGCCGTGCGTTCGAGCAAGCTCTGAAGCCCTCAGGAACAGCACGTCCTCCTGAGGCCCAAAGGAACCTATTCGGTATGTAATGTCATTGCCAATGACAATGATATCACGGCCTTCTGGATACTCGGGGGTCTTCAGAGTCATCTTCCAGGCCACCATCCCAATCTGCAAACAAAGAGCAGAAAACAAAAACTAAATGTACATCTTCAAGATGTGGAAGAAGGGAACCACGCAGGGGCCATTATCCTTATGTGTGCTGCACTTTGTGTGTTTTCTCTGGGAGCTCCGGTAACAGCAGCTCTGACACGCGCTGCCAGTGCAGAGCACAGCTGGCAGGACTCGATCCTTTCCACACTCACTGGAGCACATCCTCCATTGCTCTCTTCCACCCAAGACACTAATAGTGGCCCTCCCTCTCCCCATTCAGCGATTTGTCACGGGTCCAAAACGCATTCTGCAAACGCCTCTCTCGCAGGGTGCTGCGTTTATTCCGTGTGCCAGAGCTCCCAGGGTGAGGATGGATGTGCTGCTGCACAAGACTCCTGACCATCTGCTTAGGCTACAGAGATATCACCCCAGAACCTCGTCACCCTGGTTTCTCTCACCCTATCCTCATTTTAATAATCCTTTTATTTCATGACTACCTCATTTTTTTTTCCATTCCTTCCTTTCATTTCTTTGGCTCTTCCCTTTTTTCCTTCCCAAATATTTCAGCAGTTTCTTTCCAAACCTGCCTGGATAAGTAATGCTTTTTGCTGCATATTTTTCTTTTTAAAATCACTGAATGATCTCTTCTGGCCCATCTTATGGAGATCAGCAACATCTGTACCCTGCATCTCCCATCTCTCAGCTGCTGCGTATCACTGCACTGGGGAGTTGGCCATCCTGGAATGTCATTAACAGATGGAAATAGCAGCGTCCCTTGAAAGCCACATGCATCACCCAGTCTCCGCTTGCCCAAGGATCATAAGCTCTGAGTACACATTCCTCAAGCCGATTGCACATCCTCTGCAATCAGGAGGGTTGAAACTCTCATTGTGGAGACTCTGAATTCTGAACATGATGAACTAAAGCGGGAGGGGGAGAGGGGAGAAGCAGCAGACAGATATGTGCCATTTAATCCAAATCAAAATGGCACAATACACAGTTGAGATCCAATCAGCATCTGCAATAAGATATGCCATAATAGGCTCATTAAAAAAATAAAAAGGCAGAGGAATTAATCAAAGGGTCATTGGTAGTAAAGCAGGCAGCAATCCAAAAATATTACAGGCAGCTACTGGCAGATCCTTCCCTTACACCTCCCCTTCTGAGAGCTGAGATTGCAAGTTAACAGAATGATGGTGTTTCAGTTCACCTTCTCCTTGGTCTCAGTTTCATCCACTGTTATTTTGACTGATAGGTCGTAAGGGGATTAATTTGTTTGCCTCTGAATATTTGCAGGTTTACAGTTACATCTTAGCATCCAACTGCAATATTTGGAAGAGAGAGATACTGCAGCAATTTTAAAGACAGGAGCATAAATCCCTAAAAGTCAGTGGGATGCTTTGCTGAAATACCAGAATATTATTGCAAAATTAAAGGGAAAAGTTGTTATGTTGTAATGTTGTAAAAGAAGCGGATGCAGCTGTTGGTCAGGCTCACAGACCAAAAGTGTGTGCAAACAGACCAGGGGTCACACAGACAACCAGTCCAGAGTCTGTAAAAGCAACCTAATTCATCCCAAACCAACCAACACAGCCAGAGGGAATTCTGCTCTTCTACTGCTGGACTTTTATAGCAGGGAAAAAAAAAAAAAAAAAGGGAAGAAAGGTGAAAAAAGGAGAAGAAAAGTAAGCTTTGTCCTTCTGACTTGACTGCTGAGGGAAAAGAGATGCCAGGGGCTAGCTATTACACCTCTGTTCTAACTCAACTGTGGGCAAGCTTGCAATTAGAAACAGTAGGTTAAAAAAGTCTGCAAATCCAAAATTAAAGGTTTCAAGATTAGCCTCTAAGAAATAAGGGATGCCCATCTATAGCCCGTCACCTACCACAGCTCACTTCACCATCATTTATAGGTGCTTTTTTTTTTTCACTTGCCATAATTAAAGTCCTTAAGTGGGCACTTACCAAATCTTTCCAATAGCACCTCAGAAACCAGCTTTGGTTATTGACAGAAACCCACAAGGCAGATGGAGTAAGATTCTCTTTAAAACTGCACCATAAACTTCTTCCAAAATAGCACAGAAGTCACACTAATTTCCAGGTGTTTGCCTAAGTGGTCCTTTCCTTACAGCTACACTGATCCACCAGCCAGGACCTCACCAGGAAGCTTCAAGCACCATCAGATGAACAAGAGCCACATGAGCAACAGGAGAAATGCTCAGGCTTTGTATTTGCTAAACACTTGTCAGCAGTAAACTGCAAGACAGAAACACAGGAAGACACTGCCAGAAACCTTCACAACAACCACAACATATGAAAATAAAACCCTAGCACCCTCAGCTCACGTGTGAGGCAGATGAATTAACACTTGGTCCGGGGCTTAGGGACGAGTGACCGAGCTCAGTCAGTATCCAGGACTGGTCCCAGAGTCTGTCTCACCTATCAAGATGCAAGAGATTTATTTTCCTCACTTTCATCAGCTTGATGATTCTTGACAGTACAGAAAACAGGCAAATTAAAAGCATTTCCTATTTAGAAAATTCAGATTGTAATAGAAGCATTGGAATAGTTCCTAACCCAAGATTGTGTATCCTCTACATAAATAAAATCCCTTTTGTTCAACCCCACTAGTGGAATAGGAAAAACTATCCAGCCAAGGCACAGCAAACACAAACTCCTGAGAACAGTTTATAGCTGATAAATATGGAGCAACCATATGCAATTTAAGAAAAGAAAAATTAAAGTGCACGACTTTATTAACTCGTATGTCGTCCTGTCTCCCCAGCACACAGTGTGTTTTGTGCCATTTATACAGTGATAAAAATCACAGGGCACAACTAAGGATTTTTTTTTGCTATGAACAATGTCGATTCTGTTTAAATTTATAGGCAGTGGAGGACAGCTTTCTATTTCATAAAAAAAAAAAGATGAGATTTTTAAGTTAAAGGCAGCATGCCAAAAAAATGGAGAGTTCACAGGTTAATTAGACAGGCTGAGCTAATCACCTAAGAGCCCTGTCAGAACAATAATGGGTGATGGTAAGAGGCAGTGGCTGCAAAACGGGCTCTTTTTAAGAGGCAGCGCAGTTTGGCAGCTCTTCTCCTGCCACAGCTCTATTCCCAGCACACCCAGGAATGAGGAAGAGAGGGAGGAAAAAAATAAAAGCAGGAACCATCTTATTTAACTGTTTTTCTGTTGGCAAAATGATTTGTGCCACAGTATTTCCATAAGAAGTGGGACCATTATTCTCCTGTAGGAACACATTTGGTTTGAAAAGTATCACTGGACAGAACGTGAAAATCAAACCAGATGAATTATTCACAACCCCCGATCAGAAGTGATCATTATTTCTGATGTTCCAAACTGTGATTAGGATTCAGTGCTCAGATGTCATTTGCTCTCTGAATAGCAGCAGCAGCAATGCAGAATTGCATGACACACAGAGATTACACACAAGTTTTATCTATATAATTTTATACACACCTTCTCCCACTAGATCTGTGGCTTAATGTAACCATTAAGAGATAGTAAAGACACGGTATTAACTAACGTTCGCTTTCATGGTGCTCATAAACGCCATTAGTTTGACACACAGTGTCAACACTAATCATGGCCTAAAATTAACACCCAAATTGACTCCAACATTAATTGCGCTATCGATGTGAACAGTAACACACACACTCATGCAGTTACAAATTGACTGCTAGTGGCAGCCAGAGCTGTTGACAACAGGCACCAAGGGGAACGGGGAAGGAACCGATCCCAGGCTCCCTCCTGGAGCACGACGCGCTCCGAACGAAGGGGAGGCCAACGGAGTTCAGGCAGAGGCAGCTTTGCAGCCTCTTCCTAGCAGGACCCGTAATTCCTGGAGAAGCACAGCTGACAGAAAATCCGATGTAAGCAAGAACAGCTTATTACTGATGACATCTAGGCTTGAACCATGCCAGCTGTGTTGGTTTCTTCTACTTCTCTCACAACAAGGATGATGCTTGAGCCCAAGTACTTTATGCCACGCTTCATTTTATTTATTTACATCCAAATTTGGAAATCTGAATGTGGGTCCTGAAATCTCTAAATCACAGAACCATGGAATGGTTTGGGGTGGAAGGGACCTTAAAGATCATCCAGTTCTAACCCCCCTGCCATCAGCAGGGACACCTTCCACTAGACCAGGTTGCTCAAAGCCTCATCCAACCTGGCCACAAACACTTCCAGGGAGGAGCAGCCACAGTTTCTCTGGGCAACCTGTTCCAGTGTCTCACCACCCTCACAGTGAAGAACTTCTTCCTAATATCAAATCTAAACCTCCCCTCTTTCAGCTTAAACCCATTTCCCCTTGTTCTGTCATTAACTACCCTTATGAAAAGTCCTTCCCCAGCTTTCTTGCAGCCCCTTCAGGTATTGGAAGGCCGCTATAAATAGGACAACTGAACTTACAGAACCCTGACAATAATTGTCTTGTTCCCATTCTGTTGCATCTGTATCGTATGTAAGTTTCATATGTAAAAAATACACATAAAACATGAATATATTTGTATGTCAGTATTTTTTACGTACAAAAGTCATAATAAGAAAGGAAATGCAACAGTTGTAGTGGCCGAGCATGTGAGCACTGGAAATGCTGAAGCTGAACAATAATGAGAGCACATTTCTCCCCTGCTGTGCACACACGTTCTGACCTTGTTCCATGAAGGAACACGTGCTTTATTCCCCCTTCACAACCCCTGTCTGTTCGAGAGGGAAGCCAGCGCCTGCTGACCCCAGGATGCTGAAGCACTCTTACCATGGACACGGTTTGTTTTAGAAAGGGAACAAAGGCATCCACAGAAATGTTACTTGATGCAGATGTAGTGATTTTGGTATTTCATCATTCAAATCCCATGCCCAGAACTTCAGATCTAAAAGAGAGACTCTCTGCACTTCTACTGTGACCAAAACCTGCAATTTTTTTTATCTTCAGCATGAACCAATTTCCAGAAAAATAACATGATGTGCGTAGTTTGCCAGAGGCATTCAGACTT